TGTTGAAGTGGAGCCATTGATCATGTCTCGTAATAGCACAGAGATCAAGACATACAGACCTGAGTTCAAATCTCTGCTCTTCTGCATACAAGATGTGACTCTGAAAAAATTACTCTCTTTAGGCTTAGTTTTCTCACTTTTAAAGAGGGATTCATAATTATCCTTATCTCCTAAGGTTGTTAGAAGGAACAATTGAAAGATGCATGTCAGAAATGTTTATTATAGTCAGAAAAACTATTTGAAAAATATTAGCCAGGGCCAGGCGAGGTGTCTCTGGCAGCACTTTGGGAGGCCAAGGCAGGAGGATCACTTGAGGTCAGGAGTTCGAGACCAGCCTGGCCAACATGGTGAAACCCTGTCTCTATTAAAAATACAAAAATTGGCTGAGTGTGGTGGTGCATGTCTGTAGTCTCAGCTCCCTGGGAGGCCGAGGGGGAGAATCGCATGAACCTGGGAGGCGGAGGTTGCAGAGAGCTGAGACTGCACTACTGCACTCCAGCTTGGGCCACAGAGCAAGACTCCATCTAAAAAAAAAAAAAAAAAAGGCTTTTGCAGATGCTGCCGCCACCAGGAGCCCTGTACTATCAGCCATGGTCAATCCCACGGTGTTCTTCGACATCGCCCTCGATGGTGAGCCCTTGGGCTGCATCTCCTTTGAGCTGTTTGCAGACAAGTTTCCAAAGACAGCAGAAAACTTTCATGCTCTGGGCACTGGAGAGAAAGGATTTGGTTGTAAGGGTTCCTGCTGTCACAGAATTATTCCAGGGTTTATGTGTCAGGGTGGTGACTTCATATGCCATAAAGGCACTGGTGGCAAGTCCATCTACGGGGAGAAATTTGATGGTAAGAACTTCATCCTAAAGCATATGGGTCCTGGCATCTTGTCTATGGCAAATGCTGGACCTAACACAAATGGTTCCCAGTTTTTCATCTGCACTGCCAAAAGTGAGTGGTTGGATGGCAAGCATGTGGTCTTTGGCAAGGTGAAAGAAGGCATGAATATTGTGGAGGCCACGGGGCGCTTTGGGTCCAGGAATGGCAAGACCAGCAAGAACATCACCATTGCTGACTGTGGATAACTTGAATAGTTTGACTTGTGTTTTATCTTCACCACCAGACCATTCATTTTGTAGCTTAGGAGAGCATCCTCCACCCCGTTTGCTGGCAGTATCCTAGAATCTTTGTGTTCTTTCTGCAGTTCCCTTTGGGTTCCATGTTTTCCTTGTTCCCTATGTCTAGCTGGATTGAATAGTTAAGTTTATGATTATCAAATTAAAACTACATAACAACTATAAAAAATTAGCCCCATTTTGGGGTGGTGGTGGCAGATGCTAAGGGGCAGCATCAAGCAGTGACTGGGATAAGCATCAAGTCAGGAAGTGGATTTCCATGTACTCACTACTCTTCCCTGTCCAGCTGATTGTTGAATGTAGAGAGTTCAGTTTTCTGTGTGCTACAAATTTCATCTCAAATCTTTTTTGAAAGATACTGATCATAAAGAGGAAAAAAAAATCAAAAAGAAAAAGAATTCGGAAGGAAGGAGGCAAGGAAAGGAAAAGAAAAAGAGGTAACAGAAAAGGTGCAGCCAGGCACAGTGGCTCACACTTATAATCCCAACACTTTGGGAGGCCAAGATGGGTGGATCACTTGAGACCAGGAGTTCAAGGCCTGCCTGGCCAACATGGTGAAACCCCGTCTGTACTGAAAATACAAAAATTAGCTGGGAGTGGTGGTGCACTCCTGTAATCCCAGCTACTCGGGAAGCTGAGGCATGAGAATTGCTTGAACCCTCAAGGCGGAGGTTGCAGTGAGCCAAGATCGAGCCACTGCACTCCAGCCTGGGCAACAGAGTGAGATTCTGTCAAAAACAAAAACAAAAACTGTGGGTGAACTCTGTCAAACTCATTTATTCTAAGGTAGATAGGATGGGTATTATTGGCCCATTTTACAGATTTGGAAGACAGGTGATTTGCCTAGGGTCATTGGTGAGCTGATGATAGGACCAGGACAAGAAGCTGGGTCTTCTGCCTCTTCCTGGTCTGGTACATGCTGGATGGCAGCTCCTGCCTGAACTTGGTGAACTGCCCTGTACAGTAGCCATGAGGTAAGAGAAGCAGCCGGCTACGATGACCTCCCTCCCTGCAGCCTCTGTAGAGACAGGGACTACCCATCGGCCATCTTTGTGAAAGAGATTAATTCAGGAAAATCTCTTGAAAGTAGAAGGTGACTCAGAAAAATGATTCTTCTGACATCAGTAACAAGAACCCCTCCCTGCACACATACAGTCTTTGAGTATTCAGACGTCTTGCGAAAGGCGTAAACAGCCTTTGAGTATACGCTAAATTTTTGGATTGCTGAACTTGTCTTTTATATCACCCTACCATTACTTCAGGCATGAAAATGGCTTTGGCATCTTCTCTGATTACTGGTTCATCCTGAGCTGTTTTAGTATTCTTGAAAATAGTTTTAACATCCTGGGCACAGTCTCTGATTCTAGCTGCTTATGTCCAAACCCCTCCTATACTCCTTGTTAGCAGAGTGACTTAGGGCAATTTCTTTAACTTCTCACCTTTTCTTTAACTGCTTCATCTTTAAAATGGAGATGATGATGGTCCCTGCCCTAGAGGGTTATAAGAAATCAATGAGGGGAATCTTTGTTCAGTGCCTGCAGAGAGTGAGCCCTCAGTCAGTGTGAGCTATGAACAATAATGAGGCCGTTTCTTTGCAGTTTACGAAGCATTGCAGTTTATGAAGTTTATAGGACCAATGATTTGGGCTTATAGTTGAATATCATTGGAGTACAAGTTCAGGGAAAATGACAAATCATTACTTTTTTCCTGTGCCTTTCTAGATAAAGTCTAGAAGTTTCTTGATTACATGAGTTTTTTCATATAAAAAGAATAATGAGAAGTGGAATGCACTTAGTGACTATATGTCATAGGGGTTGATAACAGAAAAGCTCAGGAATTTTCATTTCCAGTCACAAAAATAATTTCACGGGATCCACCAATTTCCAGCAGAAATTGGAATCGTAGCACAGAGGACGTAGTTGTGTGCTATAAAGACCATTTCTAGGTTAAGCTTTCTGTTTAAATGTGTGGTGAACTGCACACTCCTTTTAGTAGGTGTGCAGAACCTAATAGTTCTGGAAACTGATCACCAACAAAGTCGTATAGCTGAGCTTGGGTTGGGACCAATGATTTGGGCTTATAATTGAATGTAATTGGAGGACAAGCTCAGGGAAAATGCCAAATCATTACTTTTTTCCTGTGCCTTTCTAGATAAAGTCTAGAAGTTTCTTCTTCCTTATTGAATCTGACCTTTTAAGAAATTTAGTTTTTATCTTTCCCAGTGGAATCATTTTTCATGTGGAATTCAATTTGCTTCAAGTTTCTGTCTCTTCTGCTTAGTTTAAAAGATGAGGTCAAGGCCCTGTGAATGTTTTGTTACTGATACCTGCTATTTTTCACTCTCAGCCCTGTCATAAATTACACTGCGGTAAGGTTTGTCTCCTATTCTGTAATTGCAAAGCAGGCCTAGGCCAGGTCTTTTAACATAATCTGTTGTGAGGTATGCTGTTTGCCTAAGAACACAGCAGCATCTGTGTTACCAGGGTATGATAGCATCACTATCAGTCATACCTTAATTGCAAACAGAGCCAAGCATGCTGGCCTATTGTAGCCATTCAAAATGTCGCAAGACAGAAGAGAATTGTCCTCCTTACACATCCTATGCTGGGCCTTGGGCAAGTCCCTAAATTATTCTGGCTTTAAGACTTCTTATCTTTGAAACTGTGGTGGAAATTATCTCTAAAACCCTTTCTAGCCCTCTCCTTCCTCAGAGAAATGTTTTCCAAGCTCTGTTTCATGGGAAGTTCAGAGTTGTACTGGGTTGAGGGTTCTCTGGTTGAATAAATTCAGGAAATGCTTCTTATCTTATTTATCTCTTAGTTACAGGCACACCTGCATATTAATACCTAGTAAGTCCATGGTTAAGAAAACTGTTTAACAATATTTAATTAAGCATTTCTCAAATACAGGTGAAGATACAATTTTAAGCGTTTGTATTTGCTTTGCTAAGTGACAGTCACTTTCCTGTGAAGGCTTCTAGAAGTGTGGTTGGGAAAGATTTCTGCTCTGTGTTTCTAAGATGACTGAATCAGATAAGGTAAGGAATACACAACCATGTCTCTGATTTCAAAATGACATGGTATAAGCTCCATTGCTATTTAATTAGAAAATGGTTGTGTGAGGCCGGGTGCTGTGGCTCATGCCTGTAAATCGCAGCACTTTGGGAGGCAGAGGTGAGAGGATTATGTGAGTCCAGGAGTTTGAAACCAGCCTGGGCAATATAGGGAGACTCTGTCTCTATTAAAAAAAAAAAAAAAAAAAATTAGCTGGGCGTGGTGGCACGTGCCTGTAGTCCCAGCTACTCGGGAGGCTGAAGCAGGAGAATCAGTTGAACCCAGGAGGTCAAAGCTGCAGTGAGCTGTGATTGTGCCAATGCAATCCAGCCTAGGTGACAGAGTGAGACCCTATGAAAGCAAGCAAGCAAGCAAGAAAGAGAGAAGAAGGAAGGAAGAAAGGAAAAGAGGAAGGAATAGATAAAATTGTGCATTTTAAACAAGTTTCTAAGCAGTTGGCTTCACCTCTTTTGTTTTTGTCTTTTTTTTTGAGACAGGGTCTCACCCCATCATCCAGGATCGAGTGCAGTGGCGTGGTCATGGCTCACTGCAGCTCCAATCTTCTGGGCTCAAGCAATCCTCCTGCCTCAGCCTCCTGAGTAGCTAGGACTATAGGTGTAGGCCACCATGCTTGCCTAATATTTTTTTAATTTTTAGTAAAGACAAGGTCCTGCAGTACTTCCCAGGCTGGTCTGAAATTCCAGAGCTCAAGCTGTCCTCCCATCTCAGCCTCCCAAAGTGCTGGGATTACAGGCATGGGTCACCACACCTGGCCAGTTTCTTGACTATAATAAATCATCAACCAAATTATCTGTGGTTCAACTAACACAAGTCAAATTTGGAGGACTATGATTAGGAAAGAATCACTTTATTGCTTAATGTTCAAAAAAAATCAAAGTTTCAATATTGGATTGCCTACTCCCCCACTTTGCCCCTGTCCTGCCTTGTAAAAGGCAAGGAACCAATGCAATGCAGGTTATTTTTAAACTAGAACCCTATTTTAGCCCCTGAAAATAGCTGTTGCTCTGCCCTTGGTTTCTTCTCTCATTTAATATCAAGTAGGAATAATACTTCGAGATTTAAAGGAGTAGGAAAAACAAGCCTCCATTACATTTTAAATGAAGGCTAACAAGAATAAAAAAAAATGCAAGGATAAAAGACTTCCATCCTTATGGTAAAAATCCCAAGACACTAACAAAAAACACGTTAGGCTAAAATATGGAATCACTATCATGAGAATGCAAGGCATTAGGCGCAATCAGAAGATTTCAGTTGGTACGACTGGCCTTTGGCAGCAGCTGACACATGACAGTTCTGCAAATGGCAAGCATTTTATCAACGAGCAATCCAGTCGTGATTCGTTGTCTGGCGCCTGGTGCTATAGCCAAGTCAGGAGGACGTTATCAGAGGCACCAAGTTCCAGGCAGTAGCCTGGACCAGGGAAAGGGCACATAGGGTGACACATGAGGATGGCTGTCTACTCGAGTCATTTCAAAACAAAACAAAAAAGCCACTTAGCGGGGGAAGACAGTAAGCCGGGACTCTTCAATTAATCAAACTTTGTATTTGCCCAGTGTGTTTCAAATAGTCTTCTTTTTCAGTGGATTGATTATAGGCCTTACATTAAATTAATAGCTCACAATGGGTGTTCTTGGTTACATCTTTATTGGAGGAATTAAATGTTATACCCTCACACTGAAAGCAATTATGCCAGTTTCCTCCTATTTCTTAGCCAATATGTGTATCTGATGCCAAGGATATTTGTCCTAAGGGTCTTTTTCCATTTAAACTGTCTTTGTGACTTTTCCGATATGCAAAATTCCTGGTGTTCACAAATAACTGGGAGAAAAGTTGGATTGTGGGTGGTGGATAATCCAGCCCAACATCAGGGCATTACTGACGAAAGGAAAAATATGCCTCTTTCCTGAGTCTTTCCGGATGAGGTCATTGTTTTCAGACAGTGTGTATACCTAATAGAAAAAGGCTCAAAGTCCACGGCTCGTCTCATACCAGGAGTTTGTCAGGGAACTGTTTCCAAAACCATAATGAATAATCAGGCTGTTCGTAAAAGAAGCCTCTCCAAGTAATAGTATTTTTAAAAAATTCTAGTATTGAAGAAACTAATTAAAAGCCCATCTGGTTGAGATAGTAATTTATTAAGGAAAAAGAGGAGGCAGAAGGCTTGGGAAAAATCGATCCTTTTCTTTCTTTGTTTCATGCATTTCAATGATTGTGAAATAATAGCGACCAAAGTCTGGATTCTGGATTGTGCAGAGTGCAGGAAAATCCTAGGAACATTCTTGGCGTGTTCTAATAGTGGCTTCCCAGAAACGAGTGTTTTCAGCGGGTGTGGCGTCAGTGAGCTGATGTGCTTTTGCAAGGGGTCTCTTTAGAAGTGGTAGGGGCAGGGTCGAGAGAAGAAGGGGATGTAGACTCTGTACACGAGGAAGGAGCTAGACTCACTCAGGAAACTCCCCATTCTTCCTGCGCTGGCTGTGGCACACCCACCGGTGGCACACCCCTCCCTCGGGTCCAGTTCAGCCTACAGACTCCTGGGAGGAGAGCCAGGGCCCCAGCCTCTCCTTTGAGGAGTGTTGCAGCCTTTCTGTGTGCCAGATGCCTAGTGAAGAAAAGCTGAAACCCTGGAGCTTTGTGCATGTTAATGACCTTGGAAATGACTGAGCTCATGGACCCTCATCACACCATCGGAGACTACAAAGGTTAGACCGTCCGTTTTGTAAACTCAGCATATATTCTGTCTGGGGTGGACTGTGTCTTTAAAGATGAGAAAAGATGCAGGGCTTTTCCATTTGATAAAATTGTTTTACACTTATTATCGTAAATGTCAATCTATTTCTGTGATAGTATATATCTGTATAAAATGCACATCTTATTTGTCAATGTATTTACAGATATTCTTAATGGAATAGGATGTTAAAATCGACGTGTCTGTTTTGTAGCAGGAGCCCAGCTCAACTCAACCAACAGTAGGTTGGTCCTTTGAGCACATAAAAAGGCATCTTCAGTGACTGTGAGCAAACACCTGTGATCCTATTTCTGGGCATTTTGTTTGAGTTTGTATGCCATCTCTAGGATGCTTTCCCTACAGTTGTGTTTGATGGGAGAGTTTGTTCCCTGGTAAGGCTGGCTTCAGGAGTTCCCTGGCTGGTCCTGCTCAGCATCCCCAGGGACGGACAGCCAACACGTCCAACAGAGCTGCAGAGGGTGGCCCCACACAGTCTCGCAGGCTGCTCCATTGAAACCTAGGAACTGTGGCGATCGGTTGCTGATTCCTTTGATACTGGACCCCTTAAGATAAGAGAGTGTAACTTATTTTGGTTCCTGGAGAGTAGACTCGTGGGTAACTCCAGATAAGGCAGATCAGCTGGGCCGCCTCCCTCCTTCACTTCCGATCTCGCCACTCTTCTCTGTTTCGCAGGACCTCCGGTGAGCTTAGGTTTGCCTTTGTACCCAGGACTGGTAGGACTGGGGAGCCGGGTCTGCTACACTTCACATGTACACACTTGTTAAGAGGTACAAAGGAATCCGAGGTTGGCACATGCTGTAACTGATGAATAATTCATGGTGGCTTTTTATGCCACACAGTTTTCTCCTGTAAATGAGCATGATTTTGAAAGACCATGCTGATTTAAAAGCCCAGTAATGTGGTTTCCTATTCCTCACTGACCTGCCTTAGATGTTTACTGGAAAGACGAAAGTTGACAAACATTAGAATAGTAAAATTTGAAGTTGACAATGGCCCCACGTGGGTGGTCAGCCAAGAACTCTGCTCCAACACTTCCCTCCCCTGTTCTTTCTAAAGGATAACGTCACCTCAGGTTTACACAAGATTCTTTGACACTCTGGACTTTCCTCAAATATAGCATCTGAATTTTAATAAGGATACTATGCATATTAATTAAAATGCATTCATGTATTCCTGATATATTTAGAGTGGAAAACTATGATGCTATGCCTTTTCCAACTGAGTGGGGTCCTAGTGATAAAATTAGAATATCTCAAGATGTCTAGATGTCTTTTATTTAAATGAATTTAAAGTCCTCTGTTTTTCTTGTACTGTACAAAGAGTGGATTTTAGTTTGGATTTCCAGAAGGATAGGGCAGGTTTTGGAAGAAATCTTACATGCAGAGAGACTGTAAGTAAACAGAGTAAGTGATACATCTAATTATATTTTTAGTGGTCAAACCAGAAAGCACAACTTTCTTTCTCTTCCTTGTTTTTTAACTACTCTCCTCCCTTCTACTCCGTGGCATATTTTTAAGGTATTTGGAGTCTTTCCACTTGCTACCAGCTGGAATCTACAGAAACCGTATCTCTAGAACACTCAACAGTTGACTTGAAGTTCAGTCATAATTAAATTGGAAGTTCGCAAATTATTCTGAGACTTAAAAACAGGCACACCTTATGTTTGGAACATAAGGGGTTTTGCTACTCTGCATTGTTTTAAATGTACTCTCTGTAGGGAACACGGGCAATAATTTTAATTAACTTTTTTTTTTTTTTAAACAAAAGGATATTTTGAAAGGATATGTAATAAACAAGTCTGACCCTGCTTACATTTTGTTTCTTATTCTCGGTAGTTGGTTCCCTGATGCTTTAAAACAACAGCAAAGCTTGCAGCTGTTCATCCATCTCTCTTTAGTAAGAGAAGATCATCCTGTCCTTTCTCTCCTGGCACACCTTGAAAGCATTTGCTAGCTAGATGGCTGTTGATTTAAGACTTTGATACAGTGACTTACAACCTCCTGCTGTAAAGGATATCCTTAGAGCTAGTGTTTGCATACAATTAATAGTAATTTAGGCCTTTGAGATATCCAGCCGTTAATTTTATGTTAAAATCTGACTGCTGACATGTATGTCTCCATCGTTAACATACTTTAAATGTTGGGGTGGTAGCCAGGATAGCAATTCAGAGTATTGGGATTTTACAAGACTTACCACTATTCATTTCCAAAAAGAGGGAAAATGCATCGTGCTGATTAGCATTGCTTTTAGGTTTCATATGAGAGAATGGAAGTGCCAGACAGGTTTTCCTGCTTCCAAAGGCAGTCACAGCTGCCACTGCAAATGAGCCCTGCCACAGTTGCTGACCAGTGGGTCAGTCAGAGCATGACATGGCCAGGAACCTGCCCAAGGAGTGGGAACAGGCAGCATGCTGGGAGAATTGGGCCCTGGATTTCCATGAAACTGTCAGCAATAGAATGAGTCTTGAGAACTTCTGTCTGCGTCATAGGCTCCCTAGGCTTGTGACCACACCAGGGTACCTTGAAGATCTTCCTGAAACAGAAATTCCCCAAGCCTAGTATTACTTTTCTTTATAATATTTTGCCTGGGAAACATATGTCCTGCTGACATGTGAATTGAAGTGGTGTAGAGAGTTAGAAGGGGATGTAGTATATTTACACAGTGCTCTTGGGAAAATGCCAGCATGTTAATGGGGTGGTATTATTTTGTGGGAAGCATATCCCTGGTGACTGTTTTTAAATGATTTAGGCCAGGCACGATGGCTCACACCTATAATCCCAGAATTTCGGGAGCCTGAGGCAGGCACATCAGTTGAGGTCAGGAGTTCGAGACCAGCCTCGCCAACATGGTGAAATCTCATTTCTACTAAAAATACAAAATTAGCCAGGCGTATTGGCACACGCCTGTAATCCCAGCTACTCGGGAGACCGAGGCAGGAAAATCACTTGAACTCTGGAGGCGGAGGTTGCAGTGAGCCAAGATCGTGCCACTGTACTCCAGCCTGCGGGCAACAAGAGCAAAACTCTCTCTCTCAAGATAAAAATTAAAATTAAAAAATATATTAAATGGTTTAAATGGTTCGATAGCCCCATTTTCCATATATAAGGTAATGCTGGTTGTATGAATAGCTAAATATACCTGCAGATTCATGGATTAATCAGCTGCTTCACTGATTATGGCTCTTGGCCCCACCCACATCTTTATTTTTTTACATTTAGAGTGACTCTCACTGTAATAGTCTGTCTCTAATTGGTAGCTTCGTCAGGGAGGGTCTGCTGATGAGTCATGGAGCCACCCCTGTACTTGGCATTAGAGCTGTTAATTAACATTCTGCTGTAATTAATTTACAAGCACTTTTCTTTTTAAATTTTTAAAAAAATTTTTATTATTATACTTTAAGTTCTAGGGTACATGTGCACAACGTGCAGGTTTGTTACATATGTATGCAGGTGCCATGATGGTGTGCTGCACCCATTAACTCGTTATTTACATCTGGTATGTCTCCTAATGCTATCCCTCCCCACTCCCCTCACCCCACAACAGGCGCCAGTGTGTGATGTTCCCCTTCCTGTGTCCAAGTGTTCTCGTTGTTCAATTCTCATCTATGAGTGAGAACATGCAGTGCTTGGTTTTCTGTCCTTGAGATAATTTGCTGAGAATGATGGTTTCCAGCTTCATCCATGTCCCTACAGAGGACATGAACGCATCCTTTTTTATGGCTGCATAGTATTCCATGGATATGTGCCAATTTTCTTAATCCAGTCTATCATTGATAGGCATTTGGGTTGGTTCCAAGTCTTTGCTATTGTGAATAGCCACAATAAACATACGAGTGCATATGTCTTTATAGCAGCATGATTTATAATCCTTTAGGTATATACCCAGTAATGGGATGGCTGGGTCAAATGGTATTTCTAGTTCTAGATCCTTGAGGAATCGCCACACTGTCACTGTCTTCCACAGATGGTTGACTATGACGCGCAGGCCCCACAAATGTAAAGAGTCTATTCTTCCACACGCTCAGCACGTCAGTCAGATGTTTCGTAACTTTTTAATGATCGCC